TGTATTGTCAGTTAGTGTATTTATAAACTCACAACAATGTGTCTTACTACCATTGATAATAACAATGCTTTGTACCTGCTAATATCGATGTCATAAAAAACCAATTAGCTACCTGTAATTTTAATCCCTAGTGTATTATACATGTATATTAAATCAAAAAATTGAAACTTTAAATGTTTATTTCTAATAAACGAATAAAGTTATATTAAAAATTCAAATGCCATTAACTATTGAATTGAAAACTCAAACATTTTATTAAATTCAAAATATGTGTTACCATTTAAAAAAACAAAGTTGACACCCTTACCAGGCATAAGGGATGANTTCAAAATATGTGTTACCATTTAAAAAAACAAAGTTGACACCCTTACCAGGCATAAGGGATGAACTTAAAAAGTATTACATAGTTAATAATTCAAGAATAATGTGTAACTAAAGATAGTAATAAAAAAAAAATTTTTAATTATTATTATTCTGTAAGTAATTGAGTGGGTTATCATAAAAAATTCACTCTGTATAGTATTTATTTTTTATACTTTTTTAAAGTGAAAAAAGAAATTTTTTTTTCAGTAAATTAAAAATATATTATTTCTGACAATATTTTCATACTTCTAAAGAATAATATAAAACTCAAGCTATTTTATATAAACTACCTTTATAAATAGATGCAAGATTCGAAACATTTGACTCATTTACTTCAACAAATTCAAATAAAACTAATAGATTGTATTTTTAGGAAAACGATCATGACACTGTCTACAAAATTAATAAGTCTCGAGTGAGTGAAAAATTCGAATCAGCAGCTAGAAGTGATAATGGTTTAATTTATTACAAGAACTTAGCTTTTGCTAGTAAAACTAAATATGGAATAGATATCACGGAGGGCAAGTCTGATGAAGATTATGAGCAGATAAGTAATTATTATTTAATTTTCTTTTATTATTGATTTAGTAATGAATTAAGATACTTCAAATGAGTCTAACTATAATTTATAAAAGTCGACTTCAAATTATGAAAAAACCTATAGTTCCATAGGTTACATAAAATTTGCTACTTTATTATTAATAAAATAATAAAGAGAATATAATTAATATTAATTATGTTTTTATTAATTACTCATGATGTTTCACACTTATTAAAAATTATAATTAATATATTAAAAACACAAAAAGTTAAAGTATATTATCTCATATACATTTACATTATTATTTCTTACGAACATAGTATTCATTTAGTGGAAAACGACGACTAATTGGTTTTTCTCATATAATTAAATAAACATACACGATACGACACAACGACAGCAAACTTAAATAGATATATATGTATATACAACAATAATAAGCTGACTATTCCCTACTGACCATTGAATAATACATAGATTTTATAGTCTTTTAGCTTCGATGCGAAGCTTAGAAGGTATTAATTTTACCATGATGTTTTTTTGTGTTTTTTTTTATGACTGTTGTCACTTTTTCTCAGCTCTCACTAGACCAATTTCTTTCAACAATACGTTAAAAGATCATAAATCGTATCTAGTTGAAGACATTGCCCTTAAAAATTCAAAAATTTTCTCTCGTTCCCCGCAAATGAGGGAAATTTCCAAAAAAATTACAAATTTAAAAATTGGTAAATATTGTCATTTTTTTTCTTAAAACATCCATAAATTTTTCAAAAATAAACATTATTTTTTTTTATACTGAAACCTTAGATATTTCCTTTTTATTTGATATCATTTTTTTGAAAATTTAACACTTAAGCTGCTAACTGGGGAGGATTTAAAATAGCAACTTTTCTACAAAAACTAAATTTTTCAATTTAATTTTTGAAAATGTTTCGGAAATACAGCGTCCTTTAAACATATATCAAATTAAAGCTTATTTTATGTACTATAAAATAAAAAAAAAAATTTGTCCGACACTTTATCTTCTGCATGCAAACGGCTGCCGTAGTTAAAAGAACGCTATTTTTGTGTTAAAATATTCGATATTCGATTTTAAATTTTCAACTTAAAAATGTTATAACATTTCGAAAAATGTAAGTATCAAATTTTTCAGAGGTCAAATTTTTTTTTTCCATAATAAAGTATATTAAATTGATGTAATATACTTACTTCATAGATGAAAGACTACTTCTCATGAAAGAATTGTATTGAACCATACATTTTTAAAAAGTTTTAGCATTTTAATATAAAACATATAAAATGTAAAATTGAAAAATTTTCACACAAAAATAGCATTTGGTAGCTATTTTTACCATGAAGACAATATACAGTCCAAAATTTTTTTTTCATGATAAAGTATATTACATTAGCTTTAATGTAATATATATATAAAAGTGTCAGACCTTCCGGAACAGTTTCAAAAGTTAAGTTGAAAAAGTTTATATTTTGTGAAAAAGTTGTTATTTTAAATCTCCCACTGTGGGCAGGTTAAGTGTCAGTTTTATAAAAAAAATATACCAAATAATAAGTAAAGACATTAAGCATCTATTAAAAAAAAATTATATTGATTTGGTTATTTTTAAAAAAGTTATGGCAATATTAAGTAATAAAATTTTAAAAATTTCGAAAATTAGCGATTTTTAAATTTGTAATATTTTTGGAGGTTTCCCCCATTTACTGGGAACGAGGGAAAATTTTTCAATTTTTGAGGGTAATGTCTTTGACTAGATACGATTTGTGATCTTTTGACATATCGTTGAAAGAAATCCGTTCGGCGAGAACTAAGAAAAAGTGGTAACAGACACAAAAAAAAAAAAAAACCACATCATAGTAAAACCAATATCTTCTCAGCTTCGCATCGAAGCTAGAATATTTAGTTTTTGTGTTAAAATTCTGGGTTTTGTACTTTATTTTATGTTAAAATATCTGACAAGAGGAGTACAGATTTTAATAAATATTATATAAATAAAAATTAATATAGCATAGAAAATTAAACTTATTTAATTTTTTTTGCATTTTGAAGTCGAGAAAAATAACTTTGCAATTTGAATTAGCTTAAATAGCCAAATTTTTCAGCCACCGGTAGCGAGTCGGTAAATGCGCTTGGGATACAAGGTTCAAACTACCTTGTATGTCGAGGAATTTTTTTCATTTTTTTCTTAATTCTTTTTAAAATAAGTTAGAATACATTTTCAACTCGTTTGATTTTTAACTCATTTAGATTCAATAACTTCAATAAAGATCAATGATCACATTCCTTTTTGATTTTGATTGGTTCATTTAGTTAAAGTAAATCATCAAAATAATTAATTTCTAAATATTTCAATTGCAGAATCTTTTTAAAAACCAAAAGTTATTAGGAAATGAATACTATTACTTCTATTTAAGTTATCTATTACGATAAAAATGCAAAAAAATATTGAGCTACTCTGATAAATTTACTATAAATAGTATTTATAAAACTTCCTAAATACATATTAATCTTAATGATACAATTTTATTAATTCTAATAAAATTTTCTATTTAATGATGTCAATTTCAAAACAAGATTTTATTGACCTTATGCAATTTAATGGAGTAAAAAATTTTGACAATTATTAAGTTAATAGAATTTTTTTTTTATATTTTTGCATATTTTGTTGATTGAAGAATATTCAGACTAATTTTCATATTTCTATAATTTTCTCAAATTTTCTACAAAGGCATTAGTTTAATTACTATTTCTAATTAATTTTAATTTAATAAAAAAAAATTTGAATATGTTTGACCAAATATTTAAGCGTATTCAATTAAAAATTCGTCAAATTTTAAATCAAAAATTTAATTATTAGACGTAAAATATGAAAATATGGGAAAGTAAACTAAGAATTATACATAATAATATGTCATATTTTAAATTTTTTTATAGTATACTATAAACATATTTTGATATATTTATAATATATATTTGCATCATAATTTAAACTTTTTAATAACCTAAAAGTCATACATTCTCAATCGCCAGGCGTGAAATTTTTCTAAATAATTACTTTAATTAAAAATTTATGGAGTACTAAAGAAACAGACTATTTTTTCTTACGATTTTATATAAACTAAATAATTTTTATTATTATGAATATTTAAAATTATTTTATTCATTCTTAAACAAACAGAATTATTTTCATCAAATTTCTTCATAAAAATGAAATGCAACAGAACTCGCTTTATAACGACCGATTGTAGTGCAAATATAAATAATATTAATTATTAAAATCAATATCTCAGCAACTGTAGAAAATGAACAATTAAGGAAATCACTTAAATTTACTAACAAATTTTTAATTTATATACGTTTAGAAAATAATTCAATCACAATGGAGCAAGCAATGGAATTATTTAATGAATCGGAAAATGAAAGTATAAAAAAATTATCTGATGTTTTGCAAAAATATGCAAATAACGGATATATTACTATGAAGCTAGCACGATTTATATTTTTGCTACATGATTTAGATGAAGAAATAATAGAGAAAACTCTATATAAATTGAGTAGGGATCCCAATCAATTACTTAAAGTGGAAGGTAATTTTTCTAATTGTGAATAATATTAATGTTTTAACCTAACAACTTTAAAAATAAAATAAAAGGTAGATATTTAAATATATATATATTCCAAGAAACATGNATAAAATAAAAGGTAGATATTTAAATATATATATATTCCAAGAAACATGACTAAATCTCATTTTACATTTGATTTACTCAAAACAATATATAGAGTACTTAAATATATCATAATAAAAATCAATGAATTTTCAATATACATTTCATACATTACTTCTAGAAGAGTTATGTAAAAGTATGAACTTTCGTTTTCATTAATAAGAGTCGATATTATATGAAATGATTTATACAGCTATTTTGATTTCATTGATTTGCAAATATTCATTCCTAAAAAAAAAAAAAATTACATTGTTTATACAGTATGATATATTAATCATAGTACTCCCCTTTTTTTTATAAGAATGCATATATTAAAATCTTTTCTGTTTTTATAAACCAATATTAATGTAAAGTCTATTAAAAAAAAAAAATTATTCCTAAGGGTAGATTAAAGGAGTAACTTTCAAAAGTTAACTCCTAAAAGTCAACAAGAACCTATTAATATTCTTTTAATATTAAATGGAGTATAGTCTGAATAAAATTTTGACTAGTCAATAACCAGTTTAGTATTATTATTTTTTGAGTTATTATAGTTTTTATTTAAAAGGAATGCGTAACGTAGAAGAATTTTAATTTGTTCGTTATGGTCAAAAATGAGCAACACTAAACACTACCGCGATCCTCGCAAATACTAAATCTTGAAACTCTAATACCTCAAAACCATCCCTTTCCAAAAAAAAAAAAAATACTTTTTTAATTATTTTCGTTATACTTTTTTACTCTCCAAAAGGGTGGGCATTGTATTGTTATGAAGGCTACATTTTATTTTTAAAGCTACCTGAAGTATATTTTTAATCCTAATAAATAGTAGAAACGTTCTCAAAATTTTTTCTAGGTGTGATATGTATAAGAATTTTTTTTTCTTCCAAAATACATATTAATAAATATCATATTTAAGACGNTTCTAGGTGTGATATGTATAAGAATTTTTTTTTCTTCCAAAATACATATTAATAAATATCATATTTAAGACGAAAATATATAATGATAAAATATATATTACAAAATAAATTTTATTTTGATAATTAGGGTTCTATCAATCATTAATCTTAATAAAGAAACCTCAGTTTTGAAATAGAATTTATAAAAAATGATGGTTCCAGTTAATGATTATCGTGTTGAAAATTAACATTATTTCACTTTTATAAAAACGTTTTGTATCTTAAATGTTTTTATACAATCCTAAAAGAAATATTTACAATAGTAATTAACAAAAATTATTTTTTTTCAGATGTCATAAATTGCTTAAAATGAAATGTATTACATTATTTATATGTAAATATCTATAAATATACTTCTATTTGAGTATTTCTTGTGTTAATTATTTTAGCTTTGATGCGAAGCTGAGAAGGAGTTCATTTTACTATGATGTGTTTTTTTTGTCTGTTGCCACTTTTTCTCAGCTCTTACATGACCGATTTCTTTTAACAATACGCCAAATGATCACATATCTTTTCTAGTTGAAGTCATTACCCTTAAAAATAGAAAGAATTTCCTCATTTCCTGTAAATTCCCAAATAAATTACAATTTTTAAAATCGGTAAATTTTGTTATTTTTTTTTTTTGTTAAAACTACCATAACTTTTTTAAATATTATCAAATCAAAATAATATGACTCTAAACATGCCTTAAGGATTACAAATATAGGTTTTTCATGACATCGATAATCGCAAGTTAACAGCATTTATTATCAATGGTAAATAGCACATTGTTGTGAGTTGAAAAATACTGGCAATACAGAAAGTATATCTATTGATAGTCATTAATGACAATAAACATTCCGCAACTGTGACAGCGACGTCATACAAAACCAATTAGCTACCTGTATTTGTAATCCTTTGTATATTATACATGAATATTACCTCAAAAATTTGAAACTTTAAATGTCTATATCTAATAAACTAATAAAATTATATTAAAAATTCAAATGCCATTTACTATTAAATTAAAATACAAACATTTTATTAAATTCAAAATGTGTGTGTACCATTTAAAAAAACAAATTTGACACCCTTAAGGCATAAGGGATGAACTTAATAAGTATTAAAAAGTTAATAATTCAAGAGCAATGTGAAACTAAAAAAAACAAAAAAGAATGTGTTAAATTATGTTTATTCTGTAAGTAATTGAGTGGGTTATGATAAAAAAATCACTCTATAGTGTGCCTCGATTGATGTGCTATTCCCAATATATTTTTAGTTTAAAAGCGAAGCTGAGAAGGTATAAATTTTACCATAAAGTGCGTTCTTTTTATGCCTGTACATGAAAATTCTCAGCTCTCACCGGTCTGATTTTAATGAACAATACGCCATAAGAATAGGATTATAATATAGTTAAAGTTATCAGTGTTGAAAATTAGTAAAACCCCCTTATTTTTAAAAATTAAAAAAATAGCTTTAAATTACAATACCGTAAAAAATGGTATTTTCAAAATTATTTTTCTGCATTTTAAAACTGGTGTAATTTTTTTTTAAACTCTTATTCAAATGAAATTGTAATAGAGTATACTAATAATAAAGTGTGCTTTTTTTGAAAATCCATTGTAAAACATAAATACTTTAGAAAAGGAAGACTTTTAAATAGACCAACCCCCACGCAGATAAAATTTTTTTTTTTACTCGATATATGAAAATATTCTAGAAGGTCTGACATTTGACTTTAAAGTCAACAATAGTGATATTTCTGTAAAAATTCGTCACTTTTTCATTTTGCTATAAGTCTTTCAAAAATACACTGATTCTAATGAAATTTTTTAATTATTCACTATTTATTGACTTGCATTGGAGGCTTATTGTGACAGTTGTGTTAACCACTGTCAGATATCATTTATACTTGTTCCCACTGTGCCGTGGCTCTATTGTGCTGAGTGTTTTAATCGTGAAATAATATTAATAAATAAAATGCATATAAATTCTTGCATGTTATATTAGATTGATATCTATGTTTGATTGACTATATTTGACATTACTATCATAAATACTTACATGAAGGATTTTTTTTTCAATTTTTAATGCTGATATGTTCATATAGATTAAATTCGGGTTGTTACTAGCATAGCGATCATCAAAATCGGTTCATTAACAGCGTAGTAATACTATTATACAAAAAAGTCATACAAAGTCATACAAAAATAAAAGGAAAACTGATTATTGTAAAATCAATACCATATCAATTTTAAACCGAAGATTTTACATTTTAAACTACTTCGATGACGATTATAATCATCACAATAATAATAATGATTTTAATAAAAAAATTACAATTTTTACTGATTGCTTATTAAGAGTTTTATTTCTAATTTTTATAAAAATGAGTGTAAAATACTTTAACAAAAACATAATTAAAAGGATGAAAGCGGTAGATACCTTCAAATAAATAAAATTACATGGTGACAATAAAATTGTATTCCTTCTGAAGAGGGTGATAAAAATATTACTTATGAATACCCCCTGACGTAACAATACTCTAATATGTCAATGTAGTTTAAATATAGTGGCTAATCTAAATATATTTTAATTGTCACTAAACATCTGAGCGTAAAAAGCTCAGATATTATGGAAGGTCTTTTATCCTCTTACGCCATTGTTGAGTTGCCTCCTTTACCTAATAATAAAATTTCAAATTCTCACGAAAATCTATCGAAAAATAGTGTTGGTACATGATACAGATGTGATTGTATGTTATTGGATGAATGTTCAAATTGTACGGAAATAGTTCATAGCTCATTTGGAAGTAATCAAAATATTGTTGAAGAACCAATACATTGCGTTTTAAATATCATACAGCTAGATAGGTGCCTTACCCTAGACGATATTATATATAAACTACCTTCTCACATCTTATTTAATAATAATTTTTATTTTATACTAAAGTGATGAAAATACGGTTCTCTCTATATTCACTTTACTCCCAAAAAAATAAAAAAAACATATTTCATTATCGTAAAATACAACGTATTAAGAAAATTGATATCAATATTGTTTATTGTTGGCGTTTCCAAAAAATCTTAGTAGATTACAATTATTTTCATTTATTAAGAGTTGTTCACCCAATAACTCTTAATTATTAAAACAATTATAATATTTCCAATTAACTAAAATTATTTTACCATAATGTAATTTTAATGTAAGCATTCTATTAATTATAGAATATTTATGAGTGTAATAGTTAGTTCAAACAAAGTAACAGTAATATTTTACATTAGGCTTTGCCTAGCTGGGGCTCCGCCCCAGACTTGGTACCTTTCGGGCCTCACGCTCCTATAGAGCATTAGGTGTCTAAGGCTGTCCTTACAGGTAGGCCACTGATTTCGGTAAGAATATCTGACGTAGTCGGGCATGATACGCATTTGTTAAAAAAATATAACTCGAAAAGTAGTTTAGCTANCCGGCGTAGTCGGGCATGATACGCGATTGTTAAAAAAATATAACTCCAAAAGTAGTTTAGCTGAAAAATAGTCCCACTTATAAACTAAATAATAATATATCTACAAAATACTAGGTGTATTACATATTATTATATTTCATAATTACCCACTAATTATTATTCAAAACAACAGGTAGGTAAGAGAAAACTTCATAATTATTAAAAATATTCTTTAAATGCCGTGCTATAAGTAAAAACAATATAAAATTAAAACAAAATTGACATGTGCAAAACAAAATCATATCTTACAAAATACTATGTACGTGGACTTAAAATAAAATTTCAAAATGCCAACAGATTTCAACGAAACTTTCAGGGTATCTTTGGAATGTCTCTAAGTAATTCTGGTAATAATTTTAGGTTTTAAATCGAAAAACGCTGGCAGCAATGACCGTTTTCGATAACATTTTTAAACGCTTCAGTGTGCTAAAAAAATTTTTCTCGTCTTTGCAAATAATTTTCCTGAAATAACGTCGTCAAGTTATTTCATAAAAAAAATGTATTAATCGGACATCATAAAGTGATTTTTCAATGTTTTATTATATAATAAGATATTTGTAAATAAAATCAAAAGAAAATTATCCATTCAGAACCAAAAAAATCCAACTACACAACCATTTTTATCATCTTTCATTGTACACTAAACAGTAAAAATATTTTGAAAGATTGCCTTTTTTTTGAGTTCAAAATATAAATAAATAAGCTTATTATAATTAAACAGCTTCATATCGAAGCTAAAATTATTGATAAAATATTCACAATTACTTTATTGATCAATAATGCTTTAAAAAACGTTATCTAAAAAATAATAAGTATAATTAAAAAAAATATATTATAGTAAAAATATTATTTATTAATTTATATTTTTCAAAAAGTTTCTGTCTGGTTCTAGAAATTTTTTTATTTTAAAACTATTAAAAAAAATGATACATTACATGTTAAAAAGCAAATTTGAAATCCAAGCAATATGTTTGAACTGTTAGCTCCAACAAATTTCAAGGTACTTTTTATTAGGTGTTTTCTGTAGTTATTCACTCCTATTAAATATAATTATAATCTCGATTTACTAATCAAAATTATAAGAAATGAAAGTAAATTATCAAAAAATAAACAAATTTTGATGATTATTGAAATCATAACAATTTATTTATAATATAATTGTGTATCTAGGCTATCAAATGATAACACCGTCCAACACATTTTTGTACCAGATAATAAGATATTCGATATTCATCAAAGTGATGTACAACACATCAATATTTTGTGGTCCGTCAATTATAAATAAATTACAGTTTTTTATTGATAAATATTATGAATTCATTTCATAAATGTTTTTATTTTTTGTTGTGTAGTATATCTTATTTATACAATGGCAAATTATTTTAAATACTTCAATGATAATTAAATATAGTGTAGGTTTTAAAAAATATTATCGAATAACGCAGTTCTCCATCAACAATCATCTTCCAATAAATAAAGGAATCTAAAAAAAATGTTTTATTTATAATTTACTTAGCCATGTTATTGGACAAACAATTTATTGAAATAAATCAGTTTATCTAACCAAATCGCACTTTAAAAAATTTAATATCATTAAAAAGTAAAAATACATTATTATATCAATATGTTTCAGATGACAATATATTTTTTTGATAAAAATATAATTTTATAAATAATAATAATAAATTTATTTTTGATAAATTTTTTTTATAAAAATTGATGCATGCACTCTTCATCTCTAGTAATACCGGCCCCAAATTTGTTACCGACCAATCATTTTCTTAATTAGATCATTTTTTATTTTACGAGCTAGTTAAATATGTATGATGCCATTTGAAAAAATTAAGTTGACTTCCCGATTAAAGATAATTCTAAAAAGTAAT